ATCATCACCATCATCATCATCACCATCATCATCACCATCATCATCACTAGCCATCATCACCATCATCATCACCATCATCAATCACCATCATCATCATCACCATCATCATCATCACCCATCATCATCACCATCATCATCATCACCATCATCATCATCATCACCATCATCACCATCATCATCATCACCATCATCATCATCACCATCATCATCATCATCACCATCATCATCATCACCATCATCATCATCATCATCACACATCACATCATCATCATCACCATCATCATCATCACATCATCATCATCCCATCATCATCATCCATCACCATCATCATCACCATCATCACCGTCATCATCATCACCATCATCATCACCATCATCATCACCGTCATCATCACCATCATCATCTTACCATCACCATCATCATCATCACCATCATCATCATCATCATCACCATCATCACCATCATCATCATCACCATCATCATCATCCCCATCATCATCATCATCACCATCATCATCACCATCATCATCACCATCATCATCACCATCATCATCACCATCATCATCATCACCATCATCATCACCATCATCATCACTATCACCATCATCACCATCATCATCACCATCATCATCACCATCATCATCATCACCATCATCATCATCACCATCATCATCATCACCATCATCATCATCACCATCATCATCATCACCATCATCATCATCATCACCATCATCACCATCATCATCATCACCATCATCATCACCATCATCATCACCGTCGTCGCGCGGCGCTTTCAGATGCGCTGCTTCTGCGGCCGTCTGGAACGCTCTTCCCTTCCGCCATTAGGAAGCCACTGGGCAGCTACGCACTTTCAAATCATCATCATCATCTGGGTTGACAAACTCGTTTCTCCATAACTGTTGTTGTTGTGTTTAGTTTGTCGACCTCTGATTAGCACGGTTGGCTACGTACGGTGCTAAAGAAGTTAAAAAAGATCCCCCTATATCCTTAACAGACTGTAGGGGCAGGTGCTGCTAGCGAGTAGCAGCACCTATGAAGGCCAGAACGGCACACGAGTGGGTGGGTGGCCAGCACCACGCCCGGCCGCCTTTGTTTCCCCAGAGGCGATGTTTACGCACCGTACCAGGTACTCATTTGAGGCTGAGTCGACCTAGGGGAGACCCAGGACCGGTTCGGATAATCCTCACTGGCGTTGGTGGCCGCGAGCGGGAATCAAACTCTGGTCGCAAGGTTCGTAGCGCAGCGTAGCGCTAACCACTACGCCACCGCTCCCCACCAAAGAAAGTTCAGCACACACACGCACACACACACACGCTGCACACGCACACACGCACGCACACACACGCACCCACACACGCACACACACGCACGCACACACACCGCGCCAGGTACTCTACTAATTTAGGGCTGAGTCGACCTAGGGGAGGCCCAGGACCGGCTCAATTATTCAACACCGTTAATGTGTCCGTGCGAGCGGGAATCGATCCCGGGTCACGGGGTTCGGCATCGCCTCGCGCTGCCGACTGTGCCCACCGCTCTCCTCGCCAGGACCACATCCACCACCACCACCACTCAGCACTGTGTGGGGAGGTGGGTGGGTGGGTTGGGGGAGCGGTGGCGCAGTGGTTAGCGCACTACGCTACGAACCCGGTGACCCGGGATCGATTCCCGCTAGCACGGCCACCGACATCAGTAACGGTTATCCGAACCGGTCACAGGCCCTCCCCTAGGTCGACTCAGCCTCGAATGAGTGCCTGGTGCGAGGTGTGAAAAAAACCATCGGCACTGGGGAGACAAAGGCGGTCCGGGCATGGTGCTGGCCACCTCACCCCCTTGTGTGACGTGCACGGGCCTTCATATAGGCGCTGCTACTCGCTACCAGCACTTGCCCCAAACATGTTGTGAAGGCTACACGGGGGATCTTTGTCTCTGGCGAGGAATGTTTGTGTGTGTTGGTGTCAGGCGTTGAGTGTGTTTAAGTGTTCCCCGTTAATTATGTTCCAGCGGTGAGAATGGTCGGAAGGAAATGGCATTGTGGGAATGGTGGTTGGGGGTGGGGAGAGCCTTGTGGGCTGTCTGCTGGTCACCCATCTCGCTCGCTGGAGCAAGCGCCCGAACGAGTTCCCAGCCCCGGCGGGGTTCGGCGTCGAACCTGGCACGTGCCGGATGATCCCAGTAGCACAAGTGGCTGCATATGTAGCAGCTACTACATATGTAG